GTTAGGTGCAAAGAAAAATATCAAAGTACACTTAAAAACATGAAAATTTGAGATTTTGTGTGTTTGATTCGAATCAATCAAGCTAAGCACACATTGTAATTTGAACCAAATCCAATAGAGCCAAAACAAAGCTCTTTAAAAAATTTGTTTTGAATCAGATTTTGTACATGATTCGAATCATTCAATTTACTGGTCACCTCTGCTCAATTTGATTTGAATCACACTTTGTACATGACTCAAATCACACAGTTTTGAATATTTTCCTAAAGGGTCTGTCGTAGTTGATTCAAATCATAGTTTGTACATGATTCGAATCACAGGGTCTTTGATTCAAATCATGCTTTGAATTTTGAGTCGAATCATGAGAAAAATTGGTCAAAATTTAATTTCTTTTTATTCTATTCACTTGCTCATATGACTCAATCCACGCATTATTCTTGATTCGAATCTAACTAATTTTTATCACTCATTTTTGTGCTTAATCTCATGCACATATAAAATATTTTGTCAACACTTTTTCATGTGTGGAATTTCATAATCCTTTGATTTTTTGTGAAATCAAATCTCTCTCACTTTGAAAAGTTTAAAACTCTTGCATTCAAATTTCTTTCTTCTTCAACCTTATTTTTGTTTTCATATCCTGATAATGAGTGATATGTGATTGATTGGGGGAGAAGCTATCTTGAAACTAACCATTTTTTAAGATTGGGTAAAGATTTTTCATGTTGTTGCAAGATTGAGAAGTTATCATTGGTGCTGACGAGTTCCAGCGTGAAAAGAATGAGGTTTTTATCTCCAAATTTCCTTAGTATTGACTTTGTGGAAGACTATGGATAAGACGGAGTTCTTCTAAGATCTTTAGAAAATCACCGCTTAAGAAATCGGTAGGACCAAAGGGTTGATTGCTACAGACGAAGGCTTGGAGCAAAATTGGTGATATTGAAAGATTCTTGAAGCGTTAATTGAGTTAAGATTATGCAGAAGAGTTTGGCGTAAAGTTGTATTCTAGTCAATATATAGAGTTGAAGTTTTATTTTCTTCCGCATTATTATGGACTAGTGATTGTATAAACTCTTGGAATATTTGTCAAAATATAATGGAGCTATGTAGGTTCCGATGGGGAACCATTGAAGAGTGCACATAGACTCGCGCAATAACGACATAGTCAAATCACTATAAATCCTGGTGTCATCTCTCTATCTTTTACTCTTGCATTTAAATTTCGTAGTATATTGCATCCCTAGAATTTAAATTCATTAAGTAGTTTACCATTTATTGCATTGATAACAATTTATTGCTTTAGATTAAGTTTTGTTAGAATTTAAACATAATCGAGCTTTAGTGGTGATTAAAATTTGAGAAACTTGTTGAGTTTAGAATTCACGAATTAAGTCATGGTATAATCACTTCTTGTGAATTATACTAGTGGTATTGATTGAATACTGTGTGTATCATCATTAATTCAGCTTTTGATATTTGTACATTGATTAAGTGTTTAATGAGTTAATTTCTATTCAGTATATTTCACTCAATTTCGCTCTAAAACATTTTCGTGTGCATACTTTAAGACTTCCTATAATTCATTTTTGAAGAATAGGTTGAGCTTTATTTTTGAAAAAAATCTATTCAAACCGTGTGTATCATCATTAATTCAACTTGTGATATTTATACATTGATTAAGTGTTTATATAAGTTAGTTTGTATTCAAGTATAATTCACTCTATTTCGCTCTAAAACATTTTCACGCGCTTACTCTTAAGACTTCCTATCATTCATTTTTGAAGAATGGTTGAAATTTATTTTTGAAAAATCTATTCAAACCTCCCCTTCCCCCATTAGATTGTTTTCTCACATCATATTCACACGCAACACTAAGGAATCCCATTTTCACTCATTCCTCATTTATTTGGATGCTCTTTTGGTTTGGCAAGTTATTTACAGAGGGCTTCACTTGAACATGAAAAATGATGACATGTCATTGGTGGATCATTTGTTGCAATTTGAAAATCAGCTGAAAAAAAGTTTCGGCAAGAAATTTAAGAAGTTCAGACTCTTAGTTTAGATGTCTACTACTTAGTCAATTTGGCTCGTGAGAAATTATATTCTTTTCAATGGTAGGATCAAAGGAGCGGTTGATATTGTGCTACTTTCTAAGTTATCTTGAAATTGGTTAGGTGCTAAATTCAAAGGACTCTTGATTTTCGTATCTGCTAATTGTTAGTGTACAAGAATCAATGATGAACAAAGAATATATTTGAGAGAGCAAAGAGAATAACGGCTGTAAAAGGTGCAAGAGAAATAAATGTTATTGTTGTTACTGTTACAAATGACAGCTACTACAAGTCTATTTATACAAAAAGTAAATTACCACATAGGCCCTAATAAAAGTAAACTTAATGACTAAGCCAAAAGGTACAAACTAGGAAATACTAAACTTAACAACTACGCTAACAAGACTCAGCTCCAGAACCACAAAAGTTAAGCATGCTTCTGGACGTAACCTCAGAAGCTTCTGCTTCTGATTAATAATAACTTTTGATTACATCAAACTACTGCTTCTAACTAAGCAGGCTCAGAAGCTTATTGCTTATGGCAAACAACCTCGGAAGTTCTATTGCTTCTGAATAACAACATCTTCTGAATATGAATTACTTCCAACATCATCTCTTAATTCATATTCAGCTAACCAAAAATCTTCAACACCAATTCCATCCCTCAAACGGATAAAGTGTTCAATCTTGACATCCTTTGCCAGAACATCTACAAGTTTCTTCTGGTTGCTACAGTGTGCAACTTCTAATACTCCATTTAGAAATGAAAATTTCTCCTTGAAAACCCGTCTGACGTTGATGTTTTTCTTCTCCTTCGGAAGCTCGGTTAACTCCAAAGTCTTGTTTCTTTCAATAGCATCAAGATATTCTTTCATGGCATTTAGCCACACTTTCTTATTGAGAGCTTCACAGATTAACAATGCAACCACCTGTTGCTTCTTGGAGCACCAAGAAATAGGACTTTCCAGATACAAATAAAAATATCCAGAAGTATTTCTTCTGTCAACTTTGTCTTCATACCAATTAGAGTCGGAATAGCATATCAGCTATGCATTTGATCTATCACCAGAAGATAACAACACTTCATACCTCAGAGTCCCTTCAGTATCTTGCAGCTTATGAAACACTACAAATCTCCTTGGTATTTTCCTGATTCTTTGTGGCCTCTGGACTTGTTCAGAATCTCCCGATTCTAAAACAATATCTCCTTATAGACTTTCTTCAGAAGTTTGACTATTACCAGAAGCTCGACCTTTGTTAGCTTCTGGACCACGTCCAAAACCACTACCTTCAGAAATACCACCTTCAAAAATTGGATCACCTTCAGAACCTATGCCTTTAGAAATTCCACTTTTAGAATCATAACCATCGTCAGAGGCTGGACTACCTTCAGAGGCTCCTCTTTTAGAAGGTTCACCTTTAGAGTCATGATTTCCACCAGAAACATGATCATCTCCAGTAGCTTTTACTCCAGAACCTACGTCTTTAGAGTTTTCCCTTCCAAAAACATGATCACCACCAGATTTGGATCATCATCAAAATCTAGATCAGAATCAGATTCACCACCTGACTCATCTTTAGAGTCTTCAGAAGATTCTTCATCTTCTGACTCTAGCTCTTCTTCAAAACTTTTAAGTTCTGACTCATCTTCAGAAGTAGAATCTTCTTCAGATTCTGACTCATCTTCTGATTATTCTTCAGACACGGAATTACCTTTGAATTCTGACTTATCTTGAGCTTCATAGTCATCTTCTAACTCTGAGACCCATCTTCAGGAACCTCATATTCTGAATCATCTTCAAAATCTTCAACATCATCTTCTGACTCTGACTTATATTTAAACACTCCTTCAGAGTCAGAATATTCAGAGTCATCTTCTTCCCCTTCAGAATAATAAAATGACAATCTCACAGGTTTTTCATCAGATTCATAAGCCATTAATAGCACAGGTTCATCATCATAATCTCTTTTGGCTATTTTTTCTTCTTCTATGTTTGATCAATAATTTTTAGCAAAGTGGTCAAACCTATTACAACAGTAAAATTGAACCATTCTTTTGTCATATTTCTCCTTTCCCTTTTGGTGTTTTTTCTCATCAGAATAGAAGACTTATGACTTCTGAGACCTACCATCTTTTTCTACTTCTGGTCCTTCTTGACAAAAGAAGCTTTCAGAGTCTGCTCAACTTTCTTCTCAGAAGTTCTTTCAGTCAGATGTAACTCTTGCGCCTCTAGACTGCTTTGTAGCTCTTCTATTCTCATGGTGTCCAGATCTTTAGAATATTCAATTTCTACAACAATGTAATCAAATTGAGAAGTAAGAGACCTCAATATCTTCTCAATGATTACTTATTCATAAAGGGTTTCTCCACAACTTCTGACTAACAACTTCAGAAGCTCTACTATTTCTGAATAACAACATCTTTTGAATATGAATTACTTTCGATACTAATTACTTTTACTTAATTGTTTGGTTTGTAATGGGATTGTGCGTAACCCTCTTATTCTCTTTTGTATTAGGTTAAGTATTCCTTGTGCTTGCTTTTAATACAATTCACTTTGCTTAAAAAAAACATTTCTACTTTTAATTAAGAATTTCATATGTTTGCAGGTTTAATTAGGTACTTTAAGTCTTTGTAAATTCTTTTCTATTGCAAATGCTTATTATGCCAATAGTCAAACAAAAGTTTGATGGTATGATATATAAAAATAACTGAAACTTAAAATACTGAATTATATAATATAATATATATATACTATACTAGTAGTATGCCGTATTAACTTCCATGCAGTCCTTTTCGGTCACTGATTCACATGTGTGTGTGAGTGAGTGTATTGTGTATATATACACACACACACGCAACTCTTAGCCATAGCAGGAACTGGAAAAAGCTAATAGAGGTGTTTGCTGTGTTGTTACTTTCTAGTTAATAGTAGAAAAGAAAAGATCATGTGGAAGTTGAAGATAGCAGAAGGAGGAGAAGGGTTGATATCAGTGAATAATTTCATAGGACGTCAACACTGGGAGTTTGATCCAAATGCTGGAACACCAGAAGAACACCATGAGATTGAGAAACTACGCAATCAGTTCACAAAAAATCGATTTTCCATCAAACAAAGTGCTGATCTCCTCATGAGAATGCAGGTAAATATTCATTCATTATTACTATAACATTAATTTTTATTTATTCTTTCTTTTCTTTGGTTTATATTGACATTCAAAATTTAAAAATGTCAGAACTTAAGTACAAGTCTTTAAATATATAGGACTTCATAAAGTAATAATATAACTTAAATTATTGTAAGCTATTTGGTTGGAATGAAATAAAGGTTGGTTTATGAAAATTATGAATGAAGATAACAAAAACCTTAACAAAAACTAAAGTAGGAAACTACTTACCTCTATAGTACATAGTAGTATATAGCTATGGCCTCAGTGTAAACTGGT